AACATATGTATATATATTTGTACTGAGCCATAAAATGAGTAGAAATAACGAATCACTAATGAATAATTAATGAAAAGCTGTATTTTGGAGAATCCTGAGCTAGTGGGTATTATAGTCCAGCTTATCAACTCATGACACTATATTGTCCATGCCCCACACAAAGTTGATGGCTGGGGATAGGGAGAAAACTATATAAATATATAGATGTATATACATATGTATACATATACATATATTCATATGTATGTATATATATAAATATATTCATAAATATATAAATATATTTATGAAAGGATATGCACCAAAATGTTAAGAATGGTTATTTTTGGCTAGTGAGATTGCAGTTGTTTTTTTTTCTTATCTGTATTTTCTGATTTTTTTCTACACTGAATATTGGATTATTTCTATATTAAAGTCTGGAAGGGTAAATGAAAAATGTTTATTTAATTTATTCTATAATGAGCAAAGCATATATTAGTGTAATTTCAAAAAGTTAATTTGAAATAATATGAATATGTAAAGTCCTGCATTTAAGTTAAAAAGTCAACTATTTTCCAAAGATCTGTTTCAAAAATAGAACATACGAGAGACTGGGCTTGGAATAAGTTTATTTTTATAAGCCCTAGAGATCTTGATTGACTTATTTAGGACAACAGGGTAAGTTTTCAGTAAAAAATATTAAGTGCCCTGTAGGATATTGTGTCAAGAAATATTGTGTCCTTATTAAGAGATTATTTCAATGTATTATTCTGCATGGATTAGAACACATCTAAAAAAGTTGTTCATTTTAGCTCCTTACTTTAAGTGGGGCAGAGTGGAACTAAATGAAGCCAGCATGGTCAGAGATCATCTAAGGGATGATTGAGAGAACTGGAGATAGCCTGAGAAGGAACCTGCAGGAAATGTGATACCAGGCTATAAATATTTGAAAGGATATTGTGGGAAGGAGTGATCGAAGAGCAGAATTTATTAGGAAGCAGCTTTTACTTAGGTCAACATAGGGAAGAACTTTCTGTCCTCTGTTTCTCATTGAAAAAGGGACTTTCCCCAGTGTCAGAGACTGGGGAACATTTGACGACTGTTTTAGATTCAGTTCCTGTGTTGACAGATGTAAAGAAAACTTTAGTTCTTCTGTGTTTCTCCTTTACTCTCACACTGCTACCACACTCCACAACTTCTGACACCAGATGTGTGGGGTTTTTTTTACTCACACCAAGCAATTCTACATCCCCAGCAGGGTGTCCTAACAGTTTAACTCAGTTCTTACACTCTCTACCTGCAGATACCAGCAGATACCATAGATTAAGGGCTCAGGCCCACAGACTGCCCCACCGCTCAGATGCCAATCTGAAAGTCATAGGTCCCCAAGGTTACCACAACTTCTGTCAGAATTGGCTACAAATCAGAGGTTCCCATGACCTCCTTCCCCTTAGATTTGATTATTTGTTAGAGCAGTTCCCAGAACTCAGGAAGACTTACTTACATTTACCATTTTATTAAAGGATATGATAAAGGCTACAGATGAACAGTCAGATAAAGAGCTACAGAGGGCGAGGTATGGGAGGATCTGGAGTACAGGAACCACCGTCCCTGTGCAGCTGGCGAGCATCGTCCTCTAAGTGTATGGATGTGTCCACCAACCTGGAAGCTCTCCGAATCCTGTACTTTTGGGATTTTTGTGGAGACTTCATCACATAGGCATGATAGATCTTTAACTCCATTTCCAGCCCCTTTCCCCTTGGTGGGGCTGAATCCCAAGCTTCCAGTCATGGCTTGGTCTTTCTGGTGATCAGCTCCCATCCAGGAGCCCACCAAGGGTCACTTCATTTGTACAAAAGACCCTGCTATCACCCAGGCAATACCTAGAGATTTAGGAACTGTGTGTCAGTAATGAGATCAAAGACCAAATATAGAACAAAAGATGTTCCTAGTGCCCTTATCACTTAGGAAATTACAAAGGTTTTAGGAGTTCTGTACCAGGAACCGTGGGCAGAGATAATACGTATATTTTCTATTATCTCACAAGAGGAAAATTGGGTAGCATAAGCTCTAAATTCTTTCTACCTCTGAGAGTATGAATTGACAAAAAGAAAAATAGATCTCATTCACATACAAAAAAAAGAGACTAGATTAAAGTCAGATCACAAATATTTGCCTGTCATTTTTACTTTTATGTTACTACCAAACTCCGACACTTTCAGGGTCTGAGGTTCTCTTCATTAAGTTGTACTTTGTATTGAGAAATGGACTTTGGGCTCCAGTTTTTAGCTGTTTTAACTAGAGGAGGTTAAACTAGGGGTTGTCAGAATATACATGGAACCATATACTTATCTGAGTGCTCAAGGAAAGGCTAAATGAATAAACCACACAACTAAGAGCACCTAATGGTTACGAGCATGACTGCCTGCGTTTGAATCCTGTCTCTATGCCTTAATTCCTTCACCTGCAAAATGGCAATAATAATACCAGCCATTCAGCTTATTATGAGCTTGGAAACATGGCCTTCATTATGCATTTCACCAAATACTCCTTGAAGGCGCCTAATGGTTATTCGGTAAGTCTTGGTGAATGAGTGAGTGAGTAAATGAATGAAATTACACAAAAATTTTACCTGACCGTGGAAACTGTGATCTGAGCTTACTGAATATAGAGATGGCACTCTATACTTTGCCACTGAATCCAAGTTTGTTTCATCCTACATCTCACTTTGACCTCTATTTTCTGCCTAATTTAATCATCTGCTTTCTGAGAAATAGTGATTCTTAAATTAGGATTAATTCTATGAGGACTTGTTTTAGAAAATGACATTTTAAAAAATAAATGGGTTATAACTGAGAATACTTGGGTGTGATGACTTGAATAATTTAAGTACTAAGCCTCCCAGAGTTTAAAGTTTATGCCCAGAATAATTTTGGAAAGATAAAGTTATTTGAAACTGCCAGATTTTTTTAAAGATACCACAACAATTATGATTATGTTCCCTCTCAGATATTAAATTTTCTTTCCATGATTTTCTAGAGAATGAAGATCTAGAAAACACCGAGGTCACCTCTCCAGTGGCTTCTGCCTGTGATCCAGAGTCCCATTCCTCACCCTACAGGTAGGGAAACAACGCCTTTGGATAAAATTCTTCTAGAGCTTTTATCTTCTGTGATAAGGAGTTGATGAAAGAAGTGGGCAGCAACGTAAAAGGGGAAGACAGGTTGAAGTGAAGGGCACGAATCGTTTCATCATTAATTAATCAACCCTTAAGTGTATTCAGGGACAATGTCTGATCTTTTTTGGGTTATAAAATTTTCTTTTACTCTCAGGGAATAAAATTATAACGAATAATATAGTGTCTTCGTTTATCTTCTCCTGAAGACCAGGTTCAAATTTGAAAATGTTTGAAGTGGAACCCAGGTGGGCTTTCAAGAGAATGTGTTTGGTTTTTATCCATAAAAAATACACACACACACACACACACAGACACACACACACACACATATGCACACTATTGGAGGCAGTTTTTTATTATGTAATTTTCAGATTAAACCATTATGATGACCTTCATTCAGGTTGTCATTCTTAATTTTCCTCTCTGTCCATCTTATCTACCCACCTTCAGTGTGTATAACAGAAAGAGTTGATAGCAAGGTGTATAACAGAAAGCGGAGTTGTACTGAGCCCTAGAATGACTGGAGACATGAAACATTAATGGAATAATTAATTAAAAACTGTATTTTGGAGAACCCTGAGCTAGTGGATATTATAGTCTCACTGATCATTGAATGATACAATGCTATCAAGTAGAATCCGTGCTTTTCATGTCCCACACAAAATTGATGGCTAGGGAATGTCAAAATATTTTAAAAATCTGTTACTTCTTGAGTAGAAGTTCTTACCTTTGTATGTGGAGTAAAACTCTTTTTTCCCAGAATTCAGATGATGGAAGATAATCATTAATACAGATGATGATAATAATATAATAATAACCATACTTTATTGAATGTTTCTCTGTAACAATGTTATAAAATTCTCATTTTTTATTGAATATTTCTATTAGCTCAGTACTATACCAGGTTTTAAAACGTATTATTTCATTTAATCCTCATAATGACCATCATGAAATAAGTGTACCTGTTTTTTTTTTTTTAAGATAAGGAAAATCAAATAGTGCATTCAGTAATTTTCTCAAATTCACACAGCTTTAGGTTTGTTTAACTCTAAAGCTTATTTTCATAAGTAGCAATAACAGGGTTTTGAGTTCTATGCTTAGAGTTACTAGGTTTACTATACATAAAATCCTTTTAGAAGACATAGTCTCCTCAAGGCTTTGTTTGAGACAATCCATATTTTCACCAACTCCCCTGAAGAGAACTTTCTGTCTTCCTACCTCCACCCCTTTTCTGTCGATTTGAAGGATCTTTAGGGGATGGATTTTGGCACAGAAGTGATTTTTCCTCTTAAGAGTAAATACATTTTTTTGAGTGAGGAATATAGAACATGCTTAGGAAAAAAGGACATTTCATTTTAAAGTTTTGTTTCTAAAATCTAGTGTGTGAAGAAAAAAATTCAGCAAGCGTGGTGCCTGAAGTTTAGTGTCTGTGTTTTGTAGATATTAGAAATGGAAACGGCACAACTCTGTCTTCCCTAGTGTATCTGGCTGCTGGCTGGCCAGGCTGGCCCCTCCATTTGGGATGGCCTCAATGCTCCAGTCCAGCACAAACCAGAAGGCTCACAATGGGAGTTTTATGTGGTTTATCAATAGTATCAAATGATTTGCAATTCTTTTCAAAATAACCTTCACTAATTCTTCAGAGCATAAAATGCTAATATGAATATTGAATTTGTGTAACTGTTGCGTGTCCTGTCTGAAATATCTTTTTTTAACAAGCCAAACCGTATTCATGCAAAGTAGCATGCACAAAGACAAAAAAGAAACTAAATTTTAGATGCCATATACAGTAAGATCAGGCTAATGGTCAGATTAACTATTATAGTCTCACATTCCAAATCATCTTCTTTTGTTCCCAAGGAAAAATTAATTTATTCATTTAACAAGTGTTTATTGGGTGTCTACTATTTATTCATTAAATAGATATTTGTTCAGAGCCTGCTCTGTTCCTGACACTGTTCTAGGCACTGAAAATACCACAAATAAACAAGCAATTTAAGTTCCTCTTCTCATAGAGCTTACATTCTAGTGAGGGAAGCAGACAGAAAGCAAGTATACATCTAAGTTGCCATCAACTATAAGATGAACTGCTATTTTATGTACCACCAAGAAAGGAAAACGTGCCTCCGAAGATAGAAAGTCTAATAAGAGACCCCCACATGGAGCTGGGCCACCAAAAGCCTACAGCTTCAGTGAAAAGATAAACAAGGAAAAGAATCCCTCTACCCGGTGAAGGACAGCAAGGAAACTTGAAATGTCTCAACCTTGGTACTGTGCAGGGGATACTCCCCTGAGAATATGAACCACAAGTTTTCAGTCACCAGTTTGTTGTCTAAATTTACTCTGCAAATGTGGTTGGTCTAAACAAAACCCTTAAACAGGACTTCAAGTCGACTCAGTTGGTGGCACTTCTGAGCACTGGCAGAAACAAATGCAAATCTGTGGAAAGACTCGATGTGAGTCCTGGCCCGCGGCAGTTTTAAGACACCACCAATTTTAGGACATCCCATATTTCAGTTGTATTAAAATCTGAAAACAAGTATGCATCTTGCAATCAACAAAATACCATACATAGTATGTCAGGCAGTAATGAGTACAGTGAAGGAAAATGAAACAGGGTAAGGGTGTAAAGAGTGATGGGGCCAAGTTGGGGAGAGCCATTTTATATGTGGATATCTGGGAAGCCTCCCGAAAGTCATGGCTGAGCAGGAACTTGAAGGAAAGGAAGCTATGAGGTAGCTAGGGGAAGATGATTCTAGGCAGAAGTGACAGCAAGTGCAAAAACCTTTAAGTAAGAGAGTGCTTGAACTGTTTGAGGACTCTCGAGAGATTCAGAGGCCCTTGTGACTGGAGTGGACTGGGCAAGGCGAGATGAGGTCATTCTAGGAGAGATGGAGTCAGAGTGCAAAGAGCCTGAGGGTTCCCTGTGACGGGCTTGGCTGTCGATACTGGGCAAACAGAGCGAGTAAGACCCAGTTCTTGCCTTCAAGCTCGCCTAATAGTTAGACAGATAATAATAAATAATAATACATAAATAAAAGTGGACCATAATTTCTGAGTTTAAGAGGATAAAATCGACTCATAGCCTAGGCCAATTTATAATTTACACAGGATTACTCAAGCAAACCTATAAAATCCACATATCCACAGCTCTGATTTTCATAGCAGCTACCTCTTGTTTGTTCTGAGGTAGGTTAGAGTGACTTGGATCTTCCAAAAGATGGCTCTGTTTTATCTGAAGAAGAGATAATTTATAAAGTAGGAGTGATTTTAAAAAAAATTTATATTAAAAGAAAGAAAGAAATAATGAGTACAGTGAAGGAAAATGAAATTTTCCTTCAAACTCAAAATGAGCCCTCCGTTTCCCTGTGTGGTGTATAGTGCTGTGTCCCAGTCATTTACTCAGCATTTCTCAGGAAACAATGCCTGAGAGCAGCAGTTCTCAAACCTTTACACTCTCAAAAATTATGGAGGACCCCAAAGAACTTTTATTTATGTGCGTTATATCTATCAATGTTTACTATATTAGAAATTAAAACCAAAAAATTTTTAAAAATTGTTATTGATTCATTTGAAAAGAACAATAACAAACTCATTACATGTTAACATAAACAACATGTTTTTAATGAAAAACTTTTCCAAAGCAAAAATAATTTAGCGAGAAGAGAGATGTAAATCTTTTTAATGTCTGCCTTAACAGAAGACAGTTGGATACTCAGATCTGCTTCTGCATTCGTTCTGTTGAGATATCACATGTCATGTAGTCTCTGGAAAACTCCACTGTATACTCTTGAGAAGATGAAATTTAAAAAGGCAAATCATATTTTAGAATTATTATGAAAAGTTTTGACTTCACAGACTCCCCTGAAAGAGTATTAAGGACCCCAGGGGTCCCAGATGATACTTTCATAACAGCTGCTCTAAAGAATCCATGCCACTTTTTGTTGACAACAGATTCCCAAGAGGCTTGGAGTATTGTGCTACAGCCCTGGCACTTAACTCACTTTCTAGTCTCTCTAGAAGCCAGGGGAAATGGAAGAGAGCATAAATTATTCTCTTGCTTCTTTAAAATTAACTATTCAAATAGTTGTGTTTTAAGTTATTGGGATAGTGGATGAATATGCTTAAAAAAAGAAAGAAAGTGATTACTTTATTTTATTACTCAGTGAGTTGGGTATGATATGGATGCCAGTGGTAGGGTTGTAAAAGGCAAGGCATGAAATGGAAATGCTGAAAGCCAGCTCCTGGGATAACTGTGGAGAGGGATTGCCTTGCTGATGAGGTGGCACTTCTTTGGTTTTGCTGATAAAGTTTTGACTTAGGTGAGGCATCTTCCTTTTGCTTCTAACCAGTGGCTTTATGTGTAGAACAGAACTGGGAATCTAATTCTTATTTTGTTTAAATTCTTTGTGGAGCAAATGGCACCAGTCCTAGACTGAGGAATAAAACCAGACTTGCAGTCTGTCTCAGATGACTGAGTTGTGTGTTTACTGTGGTTCTGGGAGCCTGGGATGTGGCTTCAGCAGTCTGTGGGCCCTCACACACTGTCACCAGTTCAGCCCTGGGCAGTGGTCTGCTAAAGTGACAGTAGAGATTGTGGTGGGGGGTGTGTGTCCTTTGAAGGTTGTTTTCTTTCTGAGTTTCCCTGGGGCTGTCGTGCCTTTTATCAGAGTCTTTGAATTGACATGCTCTCTTCCTCTGAGAGGCCGCAGATGGTGTCTCCAGTGAGTGAGGATGCCACAGAAGACCTGCAGAAAACCCCCGGTGCCCTGGTGGCTCAGGCCTTGGTGGAACAGGAATTGCTACATGCAGAGGTAGGGAGCACATTCTTGCTCTCTCTTTGAAAAGCAGGAGTTTATGGTACCAGAACTTCCATACGTATGGATGGGTTGGATTTAGAAAGCGCTATAAGGGTGGCTCACAGAATTCTCTTTGCTCTCTTTAGGGCATCTGATTTTTAATTATTTGGAGAATGACCATATGTAACTCCCACATGGCCTATCACTGTACTAGCACCCAGTAGGCACCTATTCCAGAAATGAAGTGTTAGAATGAATGTTTATGTGTTCTCAATGTGAAGAACCTTAAACCATTGAACTGTGTTTTAGTCTCACTTTTCTGGTGGTAGATGTACTCAGTATTTATGGTAAAGATTCCGTAGAAGTAATATTGATAGTGGTGGTCTCCCTGCCGTGGAAGAATGGTTGTATCATTATTAACATATATGTTATAATAACAAATGACATTAGTGTCAAGGAAGATAATGCTAAACATTATAATTATATTTGTATAATACTTTATAATTTACAAAACATTTTATCCACAATACTTTATTGATTCTTGAGAACAATCCTGTGAGGTAAGTACCATTATGTCTCCATTTTACAGATGAGGAAACTGAGGCCGAAAGATGTTAGTGACTTTACTAAGGCTATCCAACTAATAAGTTGCAAACTAAATCCTTTGTTTAGTCTTATGGAAAAGGAAGAACTATTCAATCAAGTTAGGCAAATGGAGTTAAGAACCAAAAGATTTATTCTCCAGAAATAGATAATTATGAGAATATAGTCTGGGAGGATTATAAATTTATGTATTTATTGCAAACAAAATTCTCCTCTCTTAACTGGACCACTGTCTCACTGATGTGCTCTCCCATGTTGGCAGTAGATATATAGTTCTTCTCGAGTTGCCTGCCAGTTACTTGGAGAAGGAGTAGGAAATTAAGGCATAATAGCATGAAACAGAGGAATACTAATCTGAGTGATTTGAAGTGAAACCCACTAGGGAGACATTGAAGCCTCCTGCTATGGGTTAGCAAGGGCTTTGAGTATCAAGTGACGTTTGTACTCTGCCATGCAGGTTAGATGTCTGGCAGCAAATACGCTGTTTAAATGCAAACTCTGGGGACGGTCTAAGGGGAAATTGTAATTATTTATAGATCACTGAGAGAGACAGAGACAACAAATTGGATTCTCTCTTCAGTGCTTTGGTGAATTGACTGACAGTGATCTGGAAGTAACCTTTGAATGGGAACTGTAGCAGGAAAATTGTGTGGTAGAGTGAGAGTTGAGCTAAATCCGGGGTGCAAGAGCTGTCATGAGCAGAGCCACAGGGAGGTACTGTGCAGGCCGGGGCAAGACCAACGCATGGCCCAGAAGTGCTATTGATACAAAAGTCAGTAGCAAGTTCTGAGGAATTTTGTGGACAAGGATTTTATAAAAGAAAAGTTGCAAAAGTTAGATGAGAACAAGAAAGAATCTTTAAACTAGGGGACATTTTGGTGGCACTTAAAAAAAGTTAGTAGAATTTATTAGCAACCTGGACATGGAGAAAAGAGAAGGGATGTTGACTAGCACACTAGGCTCAGAGTCGGGAAAGCTGCGGTGATAGGCAGCGGGGCAGCCTTCATTTGAAAAAAAGGCTAATTGGAATCTGCAACTCTAATATATCGTCTAACCAGAATTCTGTTGTACAGATGGCCAAGCACCAAGTTCCACAGTGGCCTGGGGACATCATTATGATCCAGTCTGAGCACACAGGAGCTGTAGATATTCTTTCAGCTGATTTGGAATCTGCAGACCTTCTGGGGGACCACAGGAAAGGTGAGCCCTGTGGGAGTGTGGAGGGTGGATTTTCTGTTCCTAATGGGTACTTAAAGAAAGGCAGGCTGACAGATGGAAGGAAAGATAGAAAGTGACTTGTGAAAGGAAGTCAAAGAATTCAGTAGAAAGAATGTTGACTGTGACAACTGCTCTGAGCAAAATGCCAAGTATGGCAGCATTTCCTCTGGGTTTCTGAGTGGCAAGCTACCTGTTCTTTCAGTGTCCCCACCTCTGATGGCTCCTCCATGCATCTGGACCTTTGCCAAGATGAAGGAATTCAAAAGCAAGCTGGGCAAAGAGAAGAACAGCCGTCTGGTGGTGAAGCGGGGTGAGGTAGTGACCATCCGGGTACCTACCCATCCAGAGGGGAAGCGTGTCTGCTGGGAGTTTGCAACCGACGACTATGACATTGGCTTTGGAGTTTATTTTGACTGGACCCCTGTAACCAGCACTGACATAACTGTGCAGGTCAGTGATTCCAGTGAGGATGAGGATGAAGACGAGGAAGAGGAGGAGGAGATTGAAGGTAAATTTAATTTTAATATAATTTGCAGTTTCCTTTCCTGGTTCAACCCAATATCTAGTGACCACTTCCTGTGTTGTACTAGTCCGGCTCTTCCTTGGAATGCAAGTAAGGAATCCGTTTCAGCCCTGCAAGCTGAGTTGAGTGATGTAGGCCAGAATCAGACCCTCGAAGAACATTCTGGTAGGATTAGTACCGATGTCTTAGTGGAAAGCTTCTTTTCCTTTTTGTCAGTATTTGCTGTTTCCCCAACATCTCCTTGGGAACAGAGACAGTGTTTTTCAGATCATATATAAACCTGAGGTTATTTTACATTTTTCTCTTAATTTTGGGACATTTACATTTATTCTTAGCCTGGAACCAAACTGAGTGATTACAGTTTCCTAAAGTACCCATTCTCTACCCCCTCCAAAGGGTCACAGCTGCCTGGCTACTCTTTACTTCTCATGCCTGGAGCATTTTTAAAAGTAGTCTCTGCTTGTTCCTGTTGTTACTTGGAATACCTTCTCCGGATGGCCCTGAGGCACTTTTTATCCCTTTGGTAATATAAGAGCATGTCCTAAGCATTAATTTTATTCCTTAGTTTTCCTATATCATAAAATCCCTTAACTTGCTTCTTCATGTAAAAGCAAGTCTGAAGGGAAACCTTCAGGTATTAAGGGAGGAGGAGAACCTCATGTCTTATTGCTGTTCTTTAGGAGGCCGAGTAGGAGTTCTAGGTCATTCTAGATGGCATGTTTGTCTACATTTCATACCTCCATTGGCTAGTTCTTTCCTCTGTTGAATGAAGGAATGTTGGAATCTTCCCTTCTAATATAATTTTCTCCCTTTTGGAAATGTCCAGACATTTCTGGAGCTAGGTAGGGCTCCATAAGGCTAAATTCTTCTTTCTCGGTAGAGACATTATTGGCATTTGGGGTGGGATGTTTCTTTAATGAGCAGTTACTATCCTGATGTTTATCACCCCTGGATCCTTGGATCACCAGCTAGTTGCTGTGATGGCCAAAAAGGCCACCAGGCATTTCCACATTCCTGTAGGAGGACAATAGCATCCGCCCTGGGTGAAAGCCACTAGGTCACCTGGTCCATTCTCTTACCTTCAGGTAGGACTTATTCAGTCTCTGAAGTCATATCCAAACACTCTGCCATTTTGCTCCTGCAGACCCTGTCCCAGTTGGAGATGTGGAGAGAGGCTCCAGGAGCTCACTGCGGGGTCGCTATGGGGAGGTCATGCCTGTGTACCGGCGAGACAGCCACCGAGATGTGCAGGCTGGCAGCCACGACTACCCCGGGGAGGGCATCTACCTGCTCAAGTTTGACAACTCCTACTCCCTGCTACGCAACAAGACTCTCTACTTCCACATCTACTACACTAGCTGAAGGCCCATGGGGACGGGGCAGGCGGGTGCTCACTGGCTAGAGCAGGCTGCCAGCTGGTGCTTCTTGTTTCCGGTAGGCAAGAGCTCGAAGTTGGGCGTGAGGCACCTGGCCCTCACGCCCTGCCTGGCGTGCCTGACTGGTGACCCTGTGTAGCTTTTCCGCCTTCTTGGCTTCTGCAGATGGTGGTATAGTGCCCCTGTTCTGTGGTTCCTGACTCACACTCTTCTTGCTTCAGACTCCAGCAAAATCACTCTGCGAAGGTGCCTATCAGGCAACAGCCTAAAAGGAAGTTGAGTGTTGTCTTTTAAAAAGAGGTTTGTCTTGGTACAAGGTATATTTTTGCAATTGCTGCTCTCTCCTTGCCCAGGGCCTTTATTGCAGATGTGTTTGGTGATACCCACTCTCTTTTTGAAGTGCTAGAAGAGGGAAAAGCACTTGTTTATGAAGGAACCTAATCTCTTGGATGGAGAAAGCTCTGTCCAGCCTCTCACCACTGCCATATTCCCACCTGCTGGTTCTTTGTGGTCTCTAGCACAGGCTGGGAGCCTTCACTGCCTCTGAGGGGTGTTATTAGTCCTGATGGTTCACCTCTGCCTTTTTGCCTCCTCTTTCCCCATTCTTAAGCCTATGTTGTTGCCGTTACAGCAAGAACTCCCATACAATCTAAAGTGATGATCAGTGTAACTAGGATCTAAGGGGAGTTAAAACTGCCTCTTCCTGTTTCAAGAGGTAGTGTCCCTTACCAAGGGCGCTGGTGGTTGAAGGAGAAACGGTGGCAGTTAAGTACTGGACTGATCTCAGAACTCACATCTTGAAAGTCATGTGTTACTAAATTATTATTTTTTGCATATTAAAAGAAGAAGGGGTATAATCTAAGAGAGAAGGTTAAAAAAAAAACAAAAAACCCAGATTTCCTACCACTTTTTTTTTCTTTAGAGTTTGAGTGTTATTTAGAAATTTTGCTTTGGAACCAATCAGACTTCCAAAGTTTCTGGATTTAGGTTTCTTGTGTTGAGGGCTTAAAGCTTTTGGTGTTCAGAGTCTCTGAGGAAAGGTGATAATGAGCTTCACTGTTGCCGCTGATTGGATTTATTCTTTACCGGGCCAGAGCTTGCATTTCCTTGGTGACCGCCTTTCCTCTCTATAACTCTGAGGCCCAGGAGTGCCGAAGGGTGCTGCAGCCGGTGGTCACCAGAGGGGCAGGGTGGCAAGGCTTCAGGCAGAGAAGGAGGCAGAGAAGGGTCCATTGAGGTTGTCGGTACCTCCTTGTTTCTAATTCCTTGTGTCAAGTCTGTTACTGCCTTAGAATTTTGAAGAATGATTAGATTTATTTATTACTTTATTTATTTTTTTTTTTTAGTACATTTCAATTTGCCTTTGACCATCTGTTTCTCAGAAGGCTTCCATCTGCTCTGAGCCATTGAGGCCACCTCTTCTGTAGAGTTAAAGATAGAATCATTTAGGAGATTTTAGGAGAAGTTGAGAAGTGGACATGTTCTCTTCCTGCAGGCCAGTCCTGTGATGCTTTAGAAGGAATCTGCCCCTTCTGGAGTGGATGACACTGACATACCCTGGCGTTTCCTGTGAGGAGCTCTAGGTTGTGAGGGAGTCATATGCCCAGGATTGAGTACAGAGGACTCGACTCTCCACTGAAGGATATCCTGTGATTCCAGGTTGTCAAAGTCCTTTGCCTGCTCTGAGGCGTCACTTTCTTCACAGTATTTCCTCTGGCTCATTCCAGGCCTCCCCTGTGTACAGGAACAGGAACTAGAAGGACCGGGCTTCTCACGATAGGTCTGTTGTAGCATCTGTGTCACACGTAAAGGGTGATACAGACTGCACCTTCTGGTTTCCTGGGAGCAAAGCCCAAAGTAGAGTAAGATGTGGACTGCCATAGCATTGATGTTCTCAGAGCGGCATCATACCTCCATTATTTTATATTTTGTAGAGATTACACTGGCCAAAATTTATATACCTTGTAAGAAATTAGAAATTATTTTAGTGACTGTCTAATTGGGCGGTGAAAGGCAAACTTGCTGTGCGTCATCTCATCAAATAGCTGAGTGACCACTCATATCACTGAAGTCGAATCATACCTTTGCTAATACAATCTTTATAAAATAATTTTATACCAAGCTGTTCTCCAGTCAGCTAAAGCTTTGCTTATTTTTCCTGTTTATTATTAACTTCTGACTTTCTCTTGAAATGGAGCTGCCAGGCCATAGCAAGCTCCCTGGGTAATACTTATTGTTTATTTTTGCTGTGAGAGTCTCTGTACTTATTTTCTTTGGAATTCTTGTTCTCTTGCATCAGGGAAGCCCGAGGGAATTGTTCCCATTGCTTGTGTGTGCCTCTTATTGTCTGGTCACTTTGAAGTCCTGGACATTGTTACATTTCAGTCAGGGTTTCTTTGTTCCATTTGCACAAAATTGCTGAGAAGATATTTTCACTGTCTAATTAATTCACCATCTCATATTAAATTTCCGAAATTATTGAACTTTAAAGACAAAATATTATTTACTGAGGCACAGGTAATTACTGAGAATTTCATAACCCAGCAAATCCTAAGAGGTAGTTATTTCCTTAGTCTCCCCACATCCAAGTTTATAGAACCAAATGATGAAATGAAAATCATTTGTTTTCACCCTCACCCTGTTCTCTGGAGCACAAATAAACATTAACAAACAATCAAAAGAAAGTGTTTCATCTTAGGAGGGAGACTGGGATTCTTTACACAGAGTGGCTGAGTTCTTAAATTTCTTCAGTTTGTTTATTTTTGCTACTTTGTTGAGAGATGGGGCTTTTAGAAAGGAAGACATGTTTAAAGGGTTAATTTTTTTCCAATATTTTACCATGAAAAATTTCCAGCAAACAGAAAACTTAAATATATAGTAAACACATTTAACTATACCACCACATAGAGTTTAAAGTTACAAGATACTAATTTTTAAACAAAGATGATTCTACCATTCTGTTCCTTTTGACAAGTGTCCACTTAGAGTATGTTCCCTGCACAGGCATCAGTTTAGAGACCTCCTGGATTTTTGCAGACTTGTTTCATTCAACATGGGTTACCTGGAAGGTGGTCCTCGTAAGTATTTCTTGGCTTCCATCTTTCAAACTCCTGCTGTATTTCCCCTCTCCCTCAGGCCATAATTTCTGCTGTTTTCTTCTGTAATGGGACTGTTGGAGTGAGGGTAACTATAAAGTCCTCTGAAAGGACTTTAATCTCTTTGCTTTATGAGACATCCTCAGGACTCTGGATTAAAACTCAATCCTCACATAATATGCAGCTTTATAATGGAAATAGGTAGCAATTCGAAATGAGGCCATTTTTAGTTATTTTCTTAATTGAGTCATGCACTTTAAAAATGTTTGAATCTATAGGAAAGAAAATCTTGTACTTTTATAAAGTATATATTGTCCCTTATATATGTAGAAGAGTTAAATATGAATGCTCACTGTCTTATATTTATCAGTGGGATTAGATATTATTGTAAAATTTATTATTTATAGGAAGTATCTGAGTTTACATGTTTTTGATGAGTCCTACCCAGTCCATTGTTGAATTAGATGAAACCCAAACGCCAAAGTCTGTATTTTTGTATTTAAAGACCACTTTTCTGCAAAAGAATGCCTTTTAACTCAAAAGTTTGTGGTTCTAAGGTAGAGAGTTGAGTAACCCTAATATGTACTGTTGTTTTAGAGGAAGGGGCATGAATGTTACTGTTCTGTGCAGCTTGAGAACTGCCTTTTTAAATTAATAGTAAGGAATGAAAACAGTAAATTGAGGTGAAGGTAGAAAAACTATCCTGGAGTTTTGCTCATATCCCAATTTTGTTTAGTTCTTTAGTTTCCGCTTCATTAGTTGGAATTGTTCTGGCTCTCCTTCTGCTTGTTGGAGAAATCCCAAACCCACTTTGCCACCTTTTCCAACACAATCGACTTTAGAAGTGTTTTTAAGTAGGTCTCCTCTGCTAAGCGTAATCCTGACCTGAAGATTGATTTCATCTCTATAGTCTCTGGGATTTAGGAGCCCAGCACCATGAAAAAAAGATGGTGGGTTTGGAAGAGGCTAGGCAGAGTTCCGGTTGTGTCACTGCAGCCTCAATTTGGTTTTGACTATGGTCAAGAAAGGGATGAAAAAGGTTAATTTTGATCAACATCATAGAAGAGTCTCAAGCCACAAAGGTGTGTTTGTGAACAAGCTGTGACCCTGTAGGCTGACCGTCCTGCGAGGTATTGGAATCACCACCATCTTTAATCCTGGTGGGATGGCCATATACGCAGCAGTAAAGAGAACAAAGCACACACACAGTTTGTTCTCCTTGTTAGAGCTTCCAGTTAGACTTTCTCTTGAATGTAAGGTCCACATCCAACTTTTTAGCTAGTTTCTATCTGGCCAAAAGTGTAGAACTCATGAATCTGCTAGAAAAGGGAAGAGCATCATCCCTATTGCATCTCAGTGGCTGAAAAAGAGTTGGAAAGTGAGTTTCTGTCTGAAGGAAGGTAATTTCATTTTTGTTGTCGTGAGTGGTAGCTTGTTAAGGGATTCATGTTCTTTAGCGAGCAAGTCATTATATTCATTGTGTTTGTGCTCAGGGAGCCATGATGCATAATTCTTTAGGGAGTAAGTAGGGACTGGGTGTCTAAAACCAATCACGAGCCTGGTGCTTTCCAGCAATCTAGGATGTGGTGAGTATCCTCATGGCCAAAGTTCCAGTCTTCACGCATGTGGGATCCTTATCCCTAGGCTCTCATTTCCATGTAGCTGAGAGACAAAGAGAGGCACTAGCTCCCCGTGTTCCTCTCTGATGTCTTGATCATTTCTGGTATTGTTCAGCACTGGCAGCATGGTTCCTGGTGGCCTGTTTTCTGGGCATGGGGGAAGGCCCTCAGGGAAGAACTGCTTTGGTTCTGTCGGTACCTGAATATGGTCAGCATTACTCTTTTGCCCTGTCTAACCAGTCCAGCACCTATGGACACTCCTTTGACATCTACCCACTTATTCAGGTAATGAGGTTAGGGTAGGATTTGGGACTCAAAGAGTGAGAGAAACTTTGCTAAGTATTGTAAAGCCAGATTTCAGAAGTCAGTGCTTTCTCTAGAATGTTGCATTGTCCCTGCCTGAACCAAAAAGGCCAGACAAAGCTCCTCCTGTTTGAATCTCTTGTTACCAAGCTAAGAAAACCTAATTACTTGCCTAAGCCTTGATAGCAGGGTTTATTTACAAATAGTCATTCCCTCAAACGTTAAGTCCAAAGGCAAGACTCTGGCTTTGCAATTATTTGTAGTCCTGGTGCTTGTTTGAACTCATGATTTCTATTATATATATTTTAATTTCTTTTAGGCCCCAGGCATGTGGACCAGAGTTAATTTCATGTCTCTTCTTCACTCTAAGAGATGAGGAAAGGGTACTCCAGAAATCTAGAGATACATTTTAATTAAATTCTATAGTTTTCGGTCACTTTAAGCAGGTAGTTTTGGCTTATCTAGGGATAAAATAATATATGTGAAATGATTTCCAGGGAACAAGTATATTTCCTTAAAGTTCTGTTATAAGGCCATGAACAATTCTAAAGTTTTGGTTTAAAATATTATAGTACATAGGATTGCAGAAGAGCTCTTTACCGGCAGTCAGTTTAGGGAGCTCTCTTCCTGCACTCTCATCCTCACTGAGGTTTGAAATGCCTTATCTGTGATGTCCCATTGGATTGGTTGTTATTGTTGACTTTTAGGTTCAGGCAAGAATCATCTGGAAAACATTATCTTAATTCTTTCTCTCATGTCCTAAACAGTACATTAAACTAAGAAATTCCGTATTAAAAACTCCACTAATATCCCTTTCTGAGATAATTGTCCCATAAATTCCTTTTGTTTGTTTAATCAGGTTGGATTATTTCCATTTAGCCATGTTCAAGAGCAAGTAAAGTCTAGAGAAATCAACCCTGTAACCATGACTCTGGTGTACTCATTTTCCCTTAATAATGGGAAGTGTTTTGAAATTCCCAGAAGAAAGCTGCTTTGTAATCAAAGTGATGGGTTATAAGAAAACCAGACTTAGGGTAAGAGTCATTGGAATAGAGGGAGGTGCTTGAAGATTTCCTAAACTACTTTATGCCATTTAGCTTATTTCTGAAAGGCCTGCTTTGGTGCTATGGACTGAGATCTATCAATCGATTGAAAGATGGTCAAGCTTTCTTGGTAAATAGTTAAGCAATTCGCAACCAACCACAAAGGCATTCTTTCCTTATTCTATATCATGCACCGAAACTGACATTACAAAAAGGGATCTGGAAGGGAAACAGTGTCACAGTCTTTTCTTTAAAATACAAAAGTATCCCAACCAGTCATTGATGGCAGTCAACTTTTTTACATGTCCCCTCTCATGAGAAATACTGTCAACATCTCCTATGATTTGTAAGTTAAGAGCTCTGTACCAAATTGTTATTTAATCATGTCCTGCTGAGTGGTTTTTCTTTTAAAATACTATATTTTACCACCCTTTGGTATTGAACGTGTTGCTGTGATACACAGATGATCCCGAGCTATGGTTCTTTAAATAGCTCAGATCTTGTGTTTTTATATTATGTAATAGTTTTGTGATGCTTTTGTGCATTCTTTGTTTTTTCTTCCGAGTTTGAATATGTCATAAATAAACTTTTTCACTATGCACCTGAAATGTTTGAGTTATATCTTAGTGAACCTGATTTATATTAAAAATTTTTTATTCATCTATCCTCTCCATTATAAAAGTATTCTGTAAATCTATATAAATTATAATCTGTCGAGATTATACAAATTAAGAAAAATTAACAATTAAGAAGATATGGAGAATGAGGTTAATGATAGATCTGTCATCTGCATTTAAATTCACAGCAGACTATAATGAACTGGGAGCTGGGTTTAGTCCAAGAGCAAAAAATTGGGTTTAGAGTGATGATTACTAAATAGAACATTGTTGAGTTTTGTCACTCTTTGGTCCCCAGTGATGTTCATTTTCCAATTAATTTACTTTGTTCAGATTTGGAACCAGTACTTTGGACACCAGGGTAATGATCATTAACACAGTCTGGGAGGTATTAATTTAGCCTATTTTCATTTATAAAAATGACACCATATCTTTGACATCTCTTAAAAATGCTGCCTCTGCACATCCCTGTTGTCTGTTACAGAATGAGAAGGACTCACATCTGAGCAGGGAGGGGTGCCATTTAAATATTTTCTTCAGTGATATCTGGTTCTAAGATGAGCCTGTTAGATCTTTCTCTGCTTTCCTTTGCAATGTATTTCAGAGGCTGATGTATAGAGGAAGAGATCTGAAATAATTGTGAATTAAATGATATAATGTGCCCACCAAACTACACCACAACCAATAATAAAAAGCCCAGGCAGACTACATGTAACTAGGGATCTTTAATGAGTTATGTTTAGGTATGCTGCATGCATTATGTCACCGCTAATACATAACATACTGAAGATTATTTTTTTTATGACCAATCTAAGTTATTATTTAAGCCATCTATCATAAGCAAAGGGTTGGAAGATCAGTATACTGGTCATCATTTGATACAAGGAAAAGTCAGCTGGGAGGAGGAAGGGGTGGGGGAACCTGGTAACATCAGTAGTGCTGGAAATCATTTCAGACCATTTGGGCTCCCAAAGGCCTGTTGGTGAGAGGTAGAGCCAGCTGCTTCCTTAATCCTCAGGTGGTGGCAGCAGCATCCCATTTGGCCAAGCCTAGCCCCTGTGGCTTGCCTGCAGCTCCTTGCTGATCCCTTGTCTCTCCAGTGACAGGGAGGCCCACTGCTGTGCTCCAGCCAGGCAGGGAGTAACCTGAGAAAAGGGTCCTCATGGCAGCAGGGCAGGACAGGGGGTACCACTGACTCACTCTCATTGCTGTGTCTTAGCTATTTCCCAGTTATGCTCTGGTTCTGCCAGGACAAACTCACCTCATGAACAAGAGTGGCCCACTTTGGTCACTTTAGAGCCTGGAACTCAGGTCATCTAAGAAAGGAAATGCCACAAAGGAGCCCAGGATGAGAGGGGAGAACTAGGTACCCTGGAATTGGGGCTGAAGGGACTCATAACTGAGAAAGTGGCTCCCATTTGAACCAGACATATATACTTTAATTCTCTGTTTAAACTTCCGCCATGCAGGGGAAATGCAATCTTAGCTATGAGACATCAAAGTTATCTTGTTTCACTGCCAGAAGGGATCCCAGTCTCCTACAATATCTCTGCTAATAGGTGATCTTGGTTCTGGTTGAACATTGCCAGGCATGGGAACCAAAGGTAAACTGTTATTTGATTGGTCTCCTGAGCTAGTCAGTATCTGTTCACACTGCCCATGGAGAAGGCTGTCTCCAGTTTCCAGGGCCATTCATTCCTGACTGGATTTACCCTAACTGCCTAATCCTGGGACTGGTCCAGAAATGCTGTCCCTGAAGATGAGGGACTGGGCTGAAGGGCCACCTTCCCTCTGGAGCGGCAGTAGAATGTAACATTGGTACCTTTCCTAGTCCTAGGAACTCAACTGGTCACAGAATCCTTTTTCCTGCTTCTTATATCTGGTCTTTTCTGGATCTTATCTGATTTTCTCAGGCAGGTTTTTAGGGTGATTTCTTTTCCTTGCTCTTCAGTCCATGGGGCCAGGCCTATCACAGGGTCCACAAGGGGCTAGCTGACTTCTTCTCCTGGTCCAGACACAGGGGGATTCCAGCTAGGAAGAGCGATCATCTTCTGGAACTGCCTTAACTGAACAACTGAACATTTCAGCCTTAACTGTCCTGGAGGACTGGGCTTCAGTTTAATTATCAGATTGTAGCATGGTCATTCTTTGGGAGTCAGGTACTGTGGAGGGGATGGGAAGCGGTGCTCAGACTTCCTGTGGCTCTCCAGTAAACTTGCCAGGCATTTTAGTCTTCATTCTCACTTCATCTGCATGACTGCTTCATGACACAGGTTGCAGGTAATGTTCCCACCTCCCTCCTTCCCACATATTCCCACTTCACCTTGCCCTAATTTGACAGATGAGGGGACAACGGCAGAAAGAGGTTAAGTGTCAAGGCAGATCCAGGGCTAGAGTTCAAGTTCAAGGGCTAGGAGTACAAGTCTCTTGCCTCTCCAGTTACGGCTTGCTCTTTTCCAGGCCTGTTCAGCCCTCCAGCTACTACTTCTGCACCAGTGCGGCATGGTTTGAGAGCTAGGCCCTCAGCTCCGGGGGTGTGTCTGGCTGCCGGCAGGGGTGAGATACTTGGAAGGCCTCCAAGGCCAGTAGTGATTTGTTGATATGGCTGATGGTAGGATACAGAGTGAGATCCACCTTGAACCTGTGGCAGAGAAACACCCACCTCAGCCAAGGTCTGCAGGGGTAAAGGGAGACTGCCCTTTGGGCGGTGGGGGAAGCACAGAAGCAAGGCTGGAGGAGGCCCCTGGGGCTGGCCAGGGAAGGGCAAGGAAGATAGCCCTGCCAGGTGGGAAGCCTTATTCACAGGTCTCTAGCTCTTGTGCAGTATTGTCTGGTACCTGTTACCTACTGTTTCTGTTCAAGCAATGGCTATTTATTGAGAACCTACTATGTGTACGGCACAGTACTAGGCATTTATATATACAGATTATCTCTCCACCCATGTCATAAGCCTCTTGGGGGCAAAGAATGTGTCATACATTTCTGCACCCCTAAGGGTGCTGAACGCATGCCTTGCACAGAGAGTTTCTTATTCACGCTCTATTGAAGGGCTGATGGATTAAAGCGGAGGTAGAGCTCACTGCTGGGCACAGACACACCGTGACTGGGGACAGAAGGCTCTTGGGGTGGTTTCTTCTAGAAGTGTCCACCAGGTAAGCCACCTCCTCTTAGGTGCAGGGGCTATACAGGATCACCTGGGCTGCGGTAGGCATAGTAGGGGGCATTCCACTGATTTCTCTGCCCCGTCTCTTCCAGGCCACAGTGGCTGGTGTGGCCTGGCACAGGGAGCCCCTTGGCCAGTCAGGGAGAGTCTCTCCATGAGATGCTACCTTAGTAGCTAAAGTGGGGGCGGGGGGACTGACTGTGGGAGGAAGCTGGGTACTTTAAGGGGAGGAACCAAGAGGAAGAGGGAGGGTAGTGGAGCTTTCTCTTACCTTTCAGCATTTGCCACCTGAGGTACTAAGCAGAGGTCAGCCATGGACACCTGAAAGAGGGTTGGGTAGGTTTGCATCAGGGTGTGCACCCCAGACTCACAGGTTGGGCTGGGTGTGTCCACTGGTGACAGTACTGGGGTGCCAGCCTATGATGCTCCCATCTGTTTCTGGCTCTTCCATCCATCCCCACTGCCCTACGCCCTTCTATATCTGGGACTGTCCCCAGAGCAGAAGGCTTCTCCCAGGCCGTGCTCCAGTTGCCCTGACAACCAACTCTGTGGGTGGCCAGAGAATGTTTGATTGCCTTAGTGGATGTACTGTGCGTGTTAAAAAGACACCATCGCAGGTTCCTAGTGAGGGCTCCCAGAAGGGAGGAGATGCCTTGGGGCAGGGGGGGCAGTGGGGACTGATATAGGGGCCCTGGAACCAGAATAATCACAGGGCCAGGGCCTTAGCCTGTAGGAGTCAAGGGCATCTGAGCCCTAGAATCTCAGAATCAGGAGAGAAAGGAAACATCTAGTCTAATCCCTCATCTGATGTCTAGGCCACCTCCTTATCTCAGAGATGAGGTCTCTAGCTAGGAACTAGCCAAGGAGCACCCCATGAGCTACCTTCTGCTTGGCATGGAGAGGATGACTTAAGTCCCTTCCCCTCCCCCACCCCCATGCCTTCTCAGGAAGCAGTCTGAGCTGAGCCTGTCCTGGGGTGAAGGGAGATGGCGGAGTCTAAGTGGAAAGGGGTCATCATGAGGCAGGAGGCCACTGTGGGCAGGCTTGGGAGGGCTCACCTCATCTCCCATACAGTACTTCCCGGCTGTGCTCTGCAGGATCTGCTCCAAAGCTGTGGGGAGGCCACATGAATAATCTTACTCTAGGCACAGAAAGGGGAGATCAGCCTTTCTGGGCCTCAGCCTCCACAGTTCTAAAAATGGGCAGCTATCTGAGGGACAGTCTGGGGCATGTGCGCTGGAGGAATTATGGTGGCCAGATCTAAAGAGAGTTGATAGGGAGGACATGGGGACGAGATGATGTTTTCCTGGGCTCCTCAAGTCCAGCTGCCATTCCCTCTCCAAGAGGAGACAAGACCTGCCAATGGCCAAGGCAGCAGCTCTCACATGGATAGGCTGACACTTTGTTTGCCTTGGTTTCTTGGCTGGAATGGGCAGTGAAGCTGAGGTTGGGTCATTCAGCTCCAAAGGGCCTCAGGTACTGAGGTTCCCGGGAGTACCAGAGGTTGAGGCCAGGTTTGGATGCTGCCCAACCCACTGCCTCCTCAGCCCTAACACCCCACCCTCATCCATGCTACTATCGAGACCAAAGAGCCTAGGAAGCTATCTTCAGATGCCCAGGGCCATGGGTGCAAGGGCCATTTCTCTGAGAGGTCACCTGGGGGCAGCTTACAGAAGTAAGGACTCACCATTAAAGCCAGAGCTGATGGTCTTCTGGGCCCAGGCCAGCTGTTTCTCCTGTCCCACTTCCTTCAGGACAGACAGGTTCTAGGCAGACCAAGGAAAATCTGTGATTGACTTTGGGAGCCAGGCTGGGCCTGTTCAGCCAAGCCTCCTCAGGGAAGCCCAATTCCCATATGACCTTGACTGTATACTTGTTCTCCTCCCCTGACTCCCCCTAGTTCCGTGAGCCCCTTCCTCCTATCAGGGCCCTGAGGGAGGTGACAATCCCAGCAGCCTCCTTCTCAGGCTGTCCCAGTGGCTCCTGTAGTGTGGAAGCCTGTGACTCTGGCAGAGACGGCAAGGGTAGGGGCACAGGATGCTGCCATGGCTGACAGGTGTGGCCATAACTTTCACACCCAACACTTCTCTTTTACATGGTCTCTTGTGAGAAGTGGGAGTGCAATACAGGGTGGGGGTGGGATGGGGAGGCCCGTAGGACTGGCTTTCAGGAGATTTGGACTCTGGTTCCATCTTTGTACCCCTGGAGCCATTTCACTCCTGGGCTTCGGTTTTCTCATCTGTTAAGGGGTAATGACTGTCTGCTACAACCTCCTTTGTTACAAAAGATAAAGTGACACAGGTGCACAGTCAGTGGTCCTGGGCTCTGGTCTTTGCTGTCATACTTAGCTGAGTGACTCTGCAAAGTCACCCCACCATTCTGGGACTATTTTCTCATTTATAAAATCAGGGGTTAGCACAGATTAATTGTTTTATTACTTTTTTTTAAACCAGTAACAACTTTATAAAAAATAAAATCTTACGGGAATCCCAATCTATGATATAGAACAGATGAAAAGGGGGCTGCACTGGTTAAAGGTGGGAGGCTGGGACCTGTGCTACTTAGCCACTCCCCTGTCACCTGGCCCTTTCCCCCTCCAGCACCTCTGGACATGCCCTTGAAAACTTAGGGGTTCTGGGAATGCAATTGGGGACCCGGTAGATGATTCTGGGGTTTCCCCGCCCCGCCACGTGGTATAGGTCTAAGCCCCTGAGAATCCCTGTCTTCCTGCCACCCGCACACCCAAGCTGGGCATCTCACTGTGAGCTCACCACAGTCAATGCGTGAGTGTACAGTGCACAGGTGCCATACCTGCAGGGGCTGGATGCCTCCAGCGATGAGGTCGGAAATCATGCGCACGCTGGCTCTCTTCTTTGGGTCCCGAGGCAGGAGTCGTGGAGTGGGCCGAGTCTCCTCCAGGTACTCAATGATGGCCAGCTGTCCAGAGGGAGCAGTTAGAGGCCCACAGTGAGGAAAGCACAGAGAGGGCCTGGGGCCACTGGGTCAGAGGGGACAGGACCAGCAAACTCCTTCTCCTCCTCCTCACCTGCCTCAGCTTGGGCCCTATGAAGCTAAGAGTCTCTGCAGGGGGACAAGCTCTTTTTGGATCCTCATCCTGCAGAACTGGTTCTCCATATGCTCAAATCTCCCTTCACTTCCCAAAGCAGGCAACCACATTCCTCCCTCCACCAAACATTCATCATGCTGAGAAGTCCTCTCATTCTGGGCACCACTCCCGCGAGGGGCCTCTCAAGCCCTGCACTCACTGACTGGCAAATGGTAATGCCATCAATCTTCAGGGCTGGCACCTGCTTCATGGGATTCAGTGCCTGGAATTCTTCGGAGAACTGTGGAGAAAAGGCCCTGTGGGCTGGGAGGCCTGGCCCGAGATGGCTGAAGCAGAACTAGGCCAGCAGGAAGACCCCAGGCCCGCTGCCCACTCCGGAACCTCCCTCCCCTGGGTAAGGCCCTGGCTCCTAGGCCCAAGGTGATGCCTGGGCAATCTGTGCAGTATCCCAACCCCCAGTGGCTGCTGAGCTATAGGCTTCATCCCTAAGGCCTAGCTATCTGTGCCTTATACTGTGGCCACCAAGACACATCCAGAGGGCCCAGTATGGGGTCGGGACCACTCTTTACCCACCCTCCTGGGGTCAGGCATTGAGAAGCCAGGCGTGGAATGAAGCCTGGAGCCTGGGCCCTTCCCATGTCTCCTCTTGCTGCATAGCTTGCCACCCTGCCCCACAAAGGAGAGCCAGCAGCCTCCTCTGGCCAGTGGATCATGGAGCACAGGTTTACCTCTTGGGGGCAGAAGTCTGCACCCCCTGCTGGTTCCTTCTCCAAGGCCTCCAACTCCCACATTGTGGCCTGGGGGAAGCCTCCTTACCTGCTGGCCCCCATCCTTTATGAGGTTGACAGGTATTGTCTCATAGTCGATGCTTTTCAAGGCCAGAGCTAAGAGAGATGGCAGACAGCAGTCAAAGGACAGCCTCTGGCTGTACATTCCAGGACGCCATGAGGCTGCAGAGGGAAGGTGGTCAAGGCCCAGCCTGGCCCTCTCCCCTTTTCTCTGGCTTCCTGGTCACCACCTACTCTAAGTCCATGACATTCTGCTTCTCTTGTCCCTGAACCCTTAGAGCCTTATTCTCCATACCTCCAAAAGGGCCTTCGTGCCCCTGGGTGGTGCTATAAAGGTGTGTGCCCTGGCACACAGCAGGGAAGCGTCCTCCTCATCTCTGTCCCTTCCAGGTCCTTAAACAGGGGTGAATAGGACTTTTTTGTTGGAGACATGCAAATTTGCCCTCATTAAGGCATCTAAGGGCCAAGAGAAGGAGCTCGAGTCACCACAAAGTACACACATAGGCCGATGACACTCTTCTTCTGTTTAGAGAAGAATCCCTTTGTCATCCACTTCCTCTGCTCTCAGGGCTGTTTACTAGAGTCCAAGCAGGGAATCAGGAACCTTTGGTGGTCTCAGAACATCTGTTATGACCCCCAGTAACCATATTTCCTCTCCATCCCCTTTGACATTTTCCCCTGGCAAGGTGAGGGTAAAAACTCAGTCAACCCTAATGGAGAAGATCGTGTGTGTGTGTGTATGCACGCGCACTTGGGCATTAAAATATGGTGAGGGCCAGTTTGAGGCAAGGGCAAAGGAGCGAGGGGAGGACATGATGTGTCACAGTCTGAAGAGAGTCTGGGAGACAAGGGGATCCTCCTCAGTGCTGGTCAGCTCCACTAAGGACAGTGAAAGTGTCCAAGAAGGCCACTAATGTTGCTCCGGCTTCCAGCCCAGGGAAGGTGTCTTGGAGAAATGTGTCCTCTGGCACCACAGTGCTCTTGCCTACTGATTCTCGCGGATACCACGTGACTGTGGGATCGGGGCGGGGTCATGGCAGATGGCTTCCCAGTCAGGGCCAGGTTCAAATTTCATCACATTCATTTACTGTGTAGCCTCGGGCAAGTAACTTTGTGGGCTCTGTGCCTCAGTTTCCTCATCTGTACAAGAGGGACAATAATAATACCTCCCTTCTAGGGCTGTGGAGGTTTAAATGGAATTATGCACACAAAGAAAGCACTCAGCACAGTTCTCTTTCAGTAGGAGCCGCTAGAACTATGACCTTTGCCAAAGGCTGTGTTAAACTGACAGACGGAAGGATTAAGCTGGGAAAGACAATGGCCAGGTCTGTTTAATTTGCTAGATCAAATAACAACTGAGGAAGGCCAGCTGTTTCCTGCCAATTACCAAGGATCTCTGGATTTTGTGAGCCTGCTTTTAAGCATGGTTGCTAAGGGGCTTTGGAGAGCAGGGTGGGAGGGGTGGTGGGCCCAAGAGAAAAAAGAACCTTCCCTTCATGCCATCTCCACTCTCCTCTAGTTCAACTTCCTAGGTGGAAGTGCCATTCAGGGCAGAGGGCTCCAGGAGAGTGGGGGTGCTGCTTGCTGGAGGTTAAGCCTTGTCTGACAGAGCACCCTTCTGTCTCAGGCCAGCTTTTCACAGGGCTTCCTCCACCTTGACCTACCCCGACCCAGGCTCTTGGCGGAGGCATAGCTCTTACCGATTCGAACTCTCCAGGAGCAGGAGCTTCGGAAATAGGAATAGAGAATGGGCTGAGGAGAGAGAGGATGAGGGTGTATATTAATCTGTGCTCTTTGGGTTCCCAGCCCCAGGAGCACTCTGGAGAGAAGGCACCAGCCCCCAGCCAGAGGGGTCCAAGCCAGCACTGTTTCTTTCCTTCCCGCCAGGCCTCATTCCTTAGGCCTATGTCTGGGCAACTCAGGCCAGACTCAGAGCTCTCTGGATCAGAGGCCTCAGCAGTCCTGTGGGATCCCTTGGCTCCCACATTCCTGAGGTCCGAGGGACCTCCAAAGGGGCAGCCAGCCTGCAAGTGCCCTCCTTACCTTGCCAGACTCAGTCATGGTGCTATGGTGACTGACCCTTGGCCTCCTGAGGTATGTATGTTCCCTTTCACAGAGCTGCAGGACAGCGGGGGAGGGACCCTGCAGGGGTGGATCCCATGAGCCAATGGGGAACCTGGGCTAGGCAGGCATCAGGGGAACTTTGACTCAAGTCAGAAAGGTTATCTCTTCCCAAATTGTAGGAAGTTTATACTCCTGGTGGAGCTAGGTTTGGTGTCCTGGGCAGACAGTGTGGCCTGGTTTTGAGGTAGCAGTTCCCTCCCTTTAATCATCTTACTCTTTAAAGCATTTGGGAGTGAGAGGGCTCTATATTATTAAAGCGATGCTGTATCTCACCTGATGTGCCTGTCACCTTCGAGCTACAACAGCGGCTCTCAAACTTTAATGAGACTCATCTGGGGTGCTATTAAACATGCAGATTCTCAGGCCCTGGCGTAGATTCCGGTAAGCTCCTCAAGTGACTACGATGACTTAAAGCGCCACTGCCTCCCCTCGCCCCTCGTGCTCTCTCAAAATGAAACGACCCTGGAAGGCCATACGGTAACTGTGAGGGCCTTTCGGGCCGATCTGCCGGGAAAGAACGATGCAGGGCTATGCAGAAAAGGCAAGCGAGGGGCAACGTTTGGAAGCCCTAATAGTGGGGGAGGGGGGGTCACGTGAAACGCGAGGGAACATCGACCCGACCGTGCCCGACAGGTCCCCATGAGGACGGGCAGCCGCGGGCCTAGTACGGCCGGGACCCACCACAGGCCGGGCGGGCAGTACGCAGGCGCAAAACGGGCCGGCGCAGCGCGGCGCACTGCACGCTGGGAGTCGTTGTCCGAGCTGTGGGCCGGGCCGAGCGGCTCACCCTGGATCCGGTCCGCCAGTGTTTTTGAGTAGCGACCCTCTCCTCAGATGCGTGGTACAGACCTTCCCCGCCTGCATTTCGCACTTTGGGCGGCCCCTCTTCCAGGCTAGGAAACTTCACGCCTGGGACTCTCCGACTTGTCGATGACCGAGGCCCAGGGAGATCCCGACACGTCAGAACCGGGGTTTAGGTCTCCGTAAAGCGAGGGGTTGGATTAGAATGATCTTTACGGTTTCTTCTAGATCGCCCCGCCCTGCCGCCACGCTCCCAGTCCCAGCGCTGCTGGGAATTGCAGTTCCTTGAGTCCGTTTTCTCCCCGGCCTGGCTCGCTCGGCCCTCGCGGTCCGTCATGCTCTGCGCCACTAGCCGCCTCCTAGCGGCCCGGGCGGCCACCGCATTCCCCGCCCAGCCCAGGGCCCGGGGCCCCGCGCCCCGTTGCCGGCGCAGGGAACTACATTTCCCAGGGCACCCCAAGCTGCCCCTTTGTGGCTTCTTGGCTGGGCGGCTCGCAAGACTTAGCGTGCCTACGGGTCGGAGGGCGATCCTGAGGAGGGGAAGGATGCCGCCGGCGGTCGGCGGAGGCCTGGCAGGGTCCGAGCTGCGTCCCCGGAAGGGCCGCTGTGGACCCCAGGCTGCTAGGGCCATGGGCCCGGACGTGGCCGCTGAGGCTGCAGCACGGAGCCCTAAACGGCCTGCTTGGGGCTCGTGGCGTTTTGAAGCGGCCGGCTGGTGGGCCTTGCTGGCCCTGGTGACACTGCTGTCCTTCGCCACCCGCTTCCACCGTCTGGACGAGCCGCGGCATGTCTGGTGAGTGACGCAAAGGACTAAGCGAGTACCATGGCAACAGAGAGGGAGGGGATGCTCCCTCTGATTGGCCTGAATGCACGGAGGGGCGGGATTCACAGGAAGAGGGGCGGAGTCGTGCTGGAGGGGAAACTGAGGTTTTCTGGTGGTTGCCTCTGGCTAAGTGCAGTATCTGTGAGAAGAATGTTTGCTCTGGTGCGTGTCAGTGGGATTCTTAGGATCTGAGAAAGCAGTCTTCATGCTTTTCAGGTTATGCTGCAGTGTTTCACTTGGCTCTCAAAATGTGGCACTTAAAAATGTTTTGAACTTTCCTAGGAGAACTGGAAAGTTTTTAGTACAGAATTTCCTAAGGCCTGTGTTCCTAATCAGCAGGATTTCCAGGCATCAGTGGAGGGGAACATTACTAACTGGGTACCTTTATCCTGGGGAGCAGGGACAGCTTGGGTGTCCAGGGATGGTGACAGAGGTTCCAAGAAGCAGGTCTAAGGTCATCCTTTGAGGAAAGATTTATTTTCTTAAAGGTTTTATTTTGTAGGACTCACTTACAGGACTGAGACATGGTCAGATTTCATTAGATAAACTTAAGTCTCCAGCTGAAAGGAGGAAAAATTTTAAACTATCTGAAAACGGTTAATTTGTTTGGCCAACAAATGATAGCATATATTCTCATTGTCACCGAGGAGAAAGTTAGTGTAGGGATGTTAGAAATGGAACTCCTTGACCAAAAAGCAAGCAAGCTAACAAACTGTCAGAGCTACCCTACTTGGAAGTTAATAAATTAATTTGTTGTTGTTTTATGAGTCTTGGCAGAAGAAATGAGACTCCTGGGTCAGAGACAAAGAACTTATTACATATAACATAAAAAACAGGATGAACATCAGTACGTTGGAGTTAGTGTCCCTTGTCTGCTTCCCCTCCCTCAAGTCCCACAGGGTGATGCTGTGGGTTCAGATGGATGGCTACTCACATGGTGGGTTCCCTTGCAGCTGAGGAAGAAGCTTGGGGAATCTACGGTTTTATAGCAAGCAGTTAGCAAGGTTACTCTTTGTGCTAGAGAGAGACATTACCTCATCTTTCAAAGGTGCTTGGTGCAAACACAGCTCTGAGAAATGGCCTAGGTAAAGTGCAGTCAGGGCCTTGCATTCTTGACATACACAGAAAGATGTGTGTAAGAGCAAGAGACCCATGGAGGACTGTCTCTCCCAACAGTCTCACCCTTCTATCCTAAGTCGTCTTGCCTTCTAGCAAATTATCATATGAATGTTCAACTCTGTTGGCTACTCTGATTAACCTGGCTGACAGAGGCAGGGACCAAATCTGTTCAAGTTGTCTCTTACAGCATTTAATCAAGACTGCTCTCAACAGGATTTGAAGTCACAGGATGAGGCCAACCTTGGTATTAACCTCAACCATGCCTTCCAGGGTCCTGGATTCAGCCACCTGTGAATAATTGTGTTGCGGGGCGGGGGAGGGTGCGGGAGCGGGCAGGGGTGTGGAAAGGACCAGTAGATTTTACTTCATATAGCTGGGATGTAGTCTAAGACAAATCTATTAATCATTGTGATCTCTGCAGAGGTGTTTAGACTGACCTCTAATTTTTGGTGTCCCTGCCAATAATTGCAGTGAGTTTCCTTCCTCATTAAAAAATAAAAGCAACTCCCATGCCCAATGGAAAGACATTTTGTGGCCCATTCTTCCCTACATCCTAGTATATTACCCAAAGGGGTGCATGTCACTTCAGGATTTTTTGTTAAATTTTATTTGGATGACCATCAAATTTGATATAGACTCCAAGCCACATGGATAGTGGGTGTTATTGAGTAGTTATTGAGTAGTTGCCTCTGTTACTATACAAGGCATAACCTAAGGCCTCTAGGTTGTCAGGAGAAGCATATACATTTGTATCAGTCAGATTAATAGAAGATTTTGCAGGTCCGTGTGTTTGCACACATGTGAAGAGGTCTGTGTTTGGGAGTTGATGTTGATGTCATCAGGCATATCAGAATAATTCAAAACCGGCCATGTCTAAGTGAGTTTTTCTGATTTCATAGCATGCTGACAAACTCAGCAGGAGGTCAGATTGCCAGCTACAGCCGCCACTTGATTTAGGTGTACCATATGAGTGTTTTGCCAGGCTTTGGTGCTGGACCTAGGGGACAAAGAAAGCATTAATCATTTCCCTTCTCTTTCCATCTCCAGGGGTCTAAGATGTTAGCTATCCAGGTGCCAGGGTTGTTTCTTTCCTTCCACTGCCACATTACATATAATCAGTGTGTCCCACTTTAGTATCTATAACTTCACCTTTTTCCAGCTATCTATCCCCTACTGATATCTGGACCTTTTTGCCAAGGGCATTCATAGAAAATTGACAGAGACCATTGTGTCTCCCATCTTGGCCCATGTGAACTGCTATAAGGGGACTTGAAAAGCAGTATACTCAACCAAGTAGTCATTATCTTTATGCTTTAGGACCATATCACTCCAAGAAAATCCAGGTAACTGAGCTAGAATTAAATTTGAATCTTACAGATGTCCCCAGTAACTCCTCTAACTGGGCTGGAATTACTGTTAGAGGAAAGAAAGATAAGTCATGCCCATGAATGGTCAGTAAAGAATCTCAAATTTTCAAAATAGATTTGTATAACCCTTTACGCCTTTTATCCTGATCATTACCCAGTTGGTGGCCAAGAGATGAGCCCTTTCTGGTTATGGCTGCAGTAGATGACTAAACTGCTTTACTAAGGTGTGCGAACCCAGAGAGAAATAGAGTCAGATCATTTTGAGAAGACTGTTCAGTGCTTGACAATATCAGATGCCCGTGGATGGTAGGAAGTGTGGAATGTCATCAAATATCTTGACTATTGGTTCATTATTGGGTAGCCATTGCAAACAAAGTGCACCATTGTCATATTGTAGATGGTTTGGAAAGCTAAAAATGTGATACAGTTTAGTTTCAAGGTCCACAATTGTGTATCTATGGTCAGATGAGTGGACTGGAACAACTTCAACACCGTAAAAAAGTATCAGCAGCATTGAGGCACCAGTGATAGCCTGGAGCGGGGAACAAAGTACTAATACAGTCAATTTCCCTTGAGCAGGCAGGGCCAATGCCCCGTGCAATGTGTCTTCCTTTACTGCAAGGCAAACAGGCCGATTTTGGGCAGGAGTCATAAGCCACCATAATGGAGTGATGCCTTCTGCTTCAGAAACATATAGTCCTTTTATGATGGTAGATGTGTTTCCGTGCCTGGTGCATTGATGAACCCATGTGGCAATGGCAGCAGTCCGGATGGTGCATCCTGGATAGGCAGCTTGATTCTGGACATTCTTATCAGAGTACTGGCCCCTACCATGGACATCTATGTGAGTGATCCAGATTGTCCATCAGTAGGCAGCCATTTTTTCCCCACAGTTGTAAGCTTCCACGAGGGTTTTTTTAAATCTCTCAGTCTATAGTCTTCCAAGTGGCACACCAAATGTCTAGGCTAATGGCAGAAGCTGAGAGTAGATAAAAATATAACTTGTTTGTTATTTAGGAGTATTGTCTAAGGCAAGGGTGAAGACTTAATTCAGCCTGTTGTGCAGGTCAGCCCTTACTGCAGTCGGCCCAGAGTTGTCACTGGGGCCAGATGATTGCTGCTGCCTAGTGGACACTATCAGGTTTTAGTTTAGCCTAACCATCAGTGAACTGGCACAGGCATTGAGAAGAACCTCTGAATCAAGGGCTCCACTGAGCCAGTGGCTTTGCTTTAAGTAGTTGAGTAGAAGATTTTCCTAAAGGGGTAGCTGCCACCTCTTCATATAAAATCAAGATACCTCTAGGGCCAGGGAGGCTATACTCTTGAATATACCATTTCCATTTGAAGAGCAAGCCTTGTTGAGCCCTTCCCTTGTTAGCTGTAGATTCCAAGTTGACCTATCCCTAAGCGGCAGGGGTCCTAAGGCCGCTATGGTCAGGCACTCAATTTCAGTAAGACGGTAGTATGGTAGTAGGTCGATAGTGCCCCTTTAAAAAAGTATTACTTGGTGCTTAAGTCCAGCAAGTGCCGCTGTTATCCTGGAGGATGGCCTCTCTTGGCACTCCAGCAGCCATTACATCTTTAAAGCTGTGATTTCCCTTTCTCTTCCTGGGATTTGTATTATTTCTCTTGAACCACTGAGGAGGGGACAGGATATCAACTCTCAACATGCAGCAGTCCCTGAATTGGATAATCCTCTTTAACACTTATGAGACCAATACCAGTTATACATTCAGCACTGGAAGCCATAATATTTGTAAAGGGTCCTACCCACAAGGTCACTTTACCTTCACTTCTCCACTGGGAACTTGGCTCAAACCTTATCAGTTGAATTTGGGCATTTTTCCCCCTTGAACTAATCAGCTACATCAGTGGCTACCATGACAGCCACCCAGAGAACATTGCTATTCCCCAGCCAGGAGTGTGGGGAGTGTTGGATGCAGGAGTGGGAGGATGGTTTTTTCTCTTTTAGCTCCTTGATAGGCTTGGCACCACTTTCTCCAGTGTACTGCCCTGTGTCTGGTAACTCCTGGGCTTAGGGGCCTTTTTCTTTCAGTCCCTGTACGCATTGCTATGGCTCTTCTTACAGTCCTCAGTACCTTTGGTATCCCCTGAACCAAGCAAATCCTCTCTCCATGGGATTGAATAAAGGAGAGACATGGGCCCCTGATTTCGACAGAGTCCTGTGTTTGCGTCCCTCTCCTCCCTGGTGTTTCCCGGCATACTAGGATGGGCATGTATGGCCTCAGTCTCCTCTTTGGGGACAGCGAGACCTTGGCCCTCCCTTTAATCATCTTACTCGGTAAAGCAGCTGATGTTGTGGTAGAGAGGGAGGGATCATCATACACAGAGGGAGAGAGTGGTTCTGAGCTTCTAAGCAAGGCACATTTACTTTTGGCTTGAGTAGACAGCTCACCCAAGGATCTTTCAAAGGTTTCATTTTATCCAAAGTTCGATAGCAAGGTCCTCACTGCTGCACCATTTATGTAAGCTTTAGAGACTTCTCAATTCAATAGCCATATCCACATTGCCTTTTAGCTAGGGCTCCTAGGCTTGCTACCCCATTGTCATGGTTACATCTCTTCCTCCTTTCACCCAGAAGACAGTAAGCAGTAATCAAGGCAGCACTTAGATGGTTTGTTTCAATCCTGCCTCTTTCCACTTAGCCTCGTTAATAGGTAGGACAGTGGGGGACTTTTCCTACCTTTCTTGCCCGCTACTTGGGCAAGAGCATTCAGTACCAGATGCTGGGCCGTCTTCTCATATTCTCTAACCTAGCCTGTAGGGGTCCTTGTCCTTCTCTTACAGAAAGCTATGTTTCAGCATATCTATGCTTGTCACCAAAACTGTCAGGATCTGGGATTTTATTTTACCCTACTCGCAAGCTAATAAATTAGCCTGTCACTGTTTTATAGGTGCTGGCAGAAGACGAAGTCCTGGGTCAGAGACAAAGGACTTTATTTCTCATGGCATAGCAAGCAGGATCAGCTTGTTGGCATCTGTTCCCCTTACCCCTCAATCTCATGTGATGCCGTAGGTCTGGATGAATGCTCACAGCTGAGGAATATTGAGGTTGGGGAATTCGCTATAATATCATAAGCAGTAAACAAGACTGCTCTCTGTTACAGAGGGAGACGCTCTTTCTTCAAGGTTGCTTGATTAAACATAACCCTGAGAAATGGCCCAAGTAAACAGAGGTCAGGACCTTGCATTTTTGGCATACTCTGCAAGGTCTGTAGGAGCAAGAGAGAGCTAAGGACTGTCTTACCCAACTCAAGAATGCAGTGAAATCTAAGAAGAAACATGGACATTACTATTGCAGGTCCTTGATTAACGTCGTTTCTTTCAATGTAGTTTTGCTGTAACTCTGAGATGCTGTAGAAACTTAACTCTTGTTTATATCAATTATCCTATGGTAAAAGAGTTTTTGTTATATGTTGTTTCACTTAAAGTCATAGAATCTCTTGACAACATTAAATGAAGACCTACTGTACTAGTTTTACCTGGAAATTTATTGAAATAAAAATCTCATACCCCTTTGTCAGTATGTTTCCAAACAGACTTCAAAATTAACCAGAAATGTTGGTTCAGTTTAAATAGTGCTCAGCGTGTATGGGACTTTGTAGTCTACAGAGTTCATTCACATGTGTTATCTGAATTGAGCCCTGCGATGGGGCCATGGCAGGTACTATTATTGCCTTCGTGGTGTAGATGAGAAAAGAGATCTGGAGGTGAGTGATTTTGCTAGGTCATGCTGATAGTAAGTGCTAGAGCTGGAACTGGATCTCTCTTCGGCAAGTCTATTTTGTCACACTGCTTGGAAGTTATTTCTCTCTTTGACATCATCACACTCCTCTCCTCACTTCATGTCAAACAGTGTGCTTAGCAGATGCAGACGTAGATTTACTTTTCTGCCTATCTGTGGACCCACTGAGTTAAAAAAGATAAAGAACCCCACATTTTTGGGAAAAGCATGTTTTGCCCATTATGTTGTAGGTCAGTAATACTATGGAAGCTGACCTGGGGATTGGATAGTCACTAGAAAGCAGCCGTTTTTCTGAGCTGCAGGGAGAAACTGACAAACGAAAATGACCAGGCTCTGCTGGATAACTGGACTGACACCATAAAGCCCTCACATAGCATGTAAAAGTTTTATGTGGTTGTATTGAATAAGACTGCATTGCGTTTTAAAACAATGTATTAGAATCATACACAAAATAGTTTGTGTAATGAGAATAGGTTTTAGTTAGGATCTTAATTTAGTAAGAAAGCCCTGAACTTTTATATAATGGTTAGTTTCATTATTAAGATCAGTAAGTTCATAGTCAGCAGGTTATCACAGATTGTTGAACAGAATCAGACCTCTGTGGCAACCATGGTTTAAAAGCTCTCTGACCAGTAGCCCACATTGTAGTTTATGAGAATAGTAAAGTAGTTTCTAGTAGCAAATGTAGTCTCAGATAAGTTGATTTAACAGCCTTGGAACAAAACTCTTACTACAAACCTTTCTATATTATAGGAGAACTCTTTGTTCTTTTAAAATAAATAGAAACTCAAGATACAGAATAAATATAGTATAATTTAAATTTATGATAACTGACTGGTAAATATTTGCTAAGCTTTGTTGTCTATTTAAATGAAGATTAATGACTAGCTTGATGTCTTGTTTCCTTAAATCACTTGTTGTGAAAGCTTTTTTTTTTTTGGAAAAAATCCAAATTTCTCATTAATTGCTTGAAACTCATAGCCTTTGCTTTTAACTGTCATTTTAACCGTGCTTTATTAAGGCTATTTGGGTTGTATGATAATTTAAAAATTCTCATTTCTCTTTTTGTTTTCTCTTTAGTTGGGATGAGACCCACTTTGGAAAAATGGGCAGTTACTACATCAATCGCACCTTTTTCTTCGATGTGCACCCACCTCTGGGAAAGGTGAGCAGAACTCTTTCCTAAGGATTGGAGCCAAGTGTCGATTTTGGATTCATTCCTGGCCTTATAGAAGGAATTCCCAGACCAGTTGCTTTTATGGAAAATCTTTGGTATTTTTAGGGGTATTTCTGGGCTCAGAAATGGAGAAAGAATCCATCAACTGATGGATGGGTAAACAATGTGGTATATCTGTACAACAGAATATTATTCAGCCAAAAAAGGAAAGAAGTATTGATACATGTTACAACATGGATAAATCTCATAAACTTAGGCTGAGTGAAAGAAGCGAAACATAGAAGGCCACATATCGAATGATTCTGTTTATATAAAATGTCTGAAGTTGGCAAATCCATTGAGACAGAAGAAAGATTAGTAGTTGCCGGGGGCTGGGGGGGGCTTGGGGGAGGGAGGATTGGGGAGTGACTGCAAATGGGTATGGAGTTTGTTTTTGGGGTGATGAAATATTCTGGATTTAGGTAATGGTAATGGTGGTACAATTTTGTGAATAAACTAAAAACCACTGAATTATATACTTTAAAATGGTGAATTTTATGATATATGACTTTTATCTCAATTTAAAAAATAGGAAAAAGAAATGGAGAGAAGGAATATATTGCATAAAGCAGAAATAGCCTAGGGGAGTTCATGTCCGAAGGGAGTGAAACTCCTTTCCCCTTATATATATATATATGTATGTATGTATGTATATATGGACATATATGTTTTGCAATGAGAAATTCCACCAATAAGAATTCATTTTACTCTTGAAAACAGACACCTTCTTAGAGGTGTTTGGATTAGCCCAGGCATTCACTCAGTCCTTTCTTCCTAACTGGAGGCTGAGATCTTCAGCACCAGGGGAACAGGAATTTGCCTGTTATAAAGTGGGTGAGTGATCTTGGAGCATGGAGTACTTGGGGATGAAGGCAGAGGGTGAGGGAAGGCAGGGATGGTGATCTGTGCCAGATAGGCTAAGGGAAGCACAAGAGCATGTGATAAGGGTCAGGGAGAAGGCCTCTGCAGGTGGAGAGGTGAGAAGGAGGTGGGATAGGTGGCCTATTTCAAAATTAGCTCTGAGCCCAGAGTAGAAAAATACCTCATCCTGTCTCCTTTATGAAATAACAACAATAAAAATAAGAGCAGTTGAACACTTAATCTATTCTAGTCACTTTAGATGCATTATCTTATGTAATCCTCAGAACAACCCTATGAAGTAGGTACTGTTATATCTTCATTTTACAGATGAGGAAGCTGGGACTCAGAGAGGATAAGTACTTTGCCATGGGAAGCAAAGCTAGTAAGTGACAGAGTCAAGATGCAGACTTGCTTAGTTTGCTATTATACCACACTGCCTCATGAGCCTCATGCACTTCTCTTACCTCAGTACACGGACTACATCATTTACTGCCATAGAAGTAAGCAACAGAATGTGTTTAATATTTGCATCAGGCTAGCCTGGGAACCAGACTGTAGCAAGGAGATTTTTCATAGGACATCCAGCCTAGTCTTTTAGCCTATCCATTTTTAGAGTCCCCTAGTGCTTAGCACAGTGAAGACACGTGGAAAACACTGGCTGATTTGTTTTTATTGAAGGTTTCCTTTCCTCACATCTGGCCCCTGTGTGAAGGGAGAATGTGAAGCTTCTTTCTAAGGCTGCCCCTAGGGAATGCAGTCCATTGCTCCTCTGATTTATCTCCTGGTAGTCCTGTACTCTGCCTGGTTAAAAGAGAGTGATGAGCAAATTAGAAACCTGTGAGAGAGAGCAAAATAGCTTTCACAGGTTCTGAGCCAAACCAGTCAAAGAATCAAAAAGCCCCTTGAAGTGGTGAGTAGGAAGTTTTCTCCTACAGTATTGAGGCCCATACCTGCAACTTCACACAGGCCCTCAGCCCTGGGCACCCAGGGGCTCCAGTCAAATAGGTACTTATTAAAGAAATAAAAATGCCTGCACATAGTAA